CCAAATTGGCATAGCTAGGAGCAAAGTTCGCGCTCATAGCTATACCATTTAGCTGGAGGTAGTGTGTGCCCTCAAATTGGAAATAATTGTGTTGAAGACAAAAATGAGTGGTTTCGAGGATAAATTGGCCTGGTTATGGATTCATGAGGGGTCCTCAGCAAGAAAATGTTGGATTGCCCGAAGGCCTAACTCATGAGGAATGGAAGTATACAATAATGTCACATCTAGAGAAACCCATAGATATGAGGGTTCTCAGGTATATGACTGGCATGTGCCTAATAAATGTATCCCATCTCTAATATAAGAGGGTAAATTTGGGCTAATGGCTGTAGAAAATTCTCTATATATATGGAAAAGCCGCTGGTGACACTATGCATGGCCATCACTATAGGGCGGCCCGATGGGTTTAGTAGATCCTTGTGAATTTTGGGCAAATGGTAAAAGTATGGAGTACTATAGTAATGTTTTACAAGAAAATAGGTCTGTGATGATGTTATCTGTCAATGATACCTGTACAATCTTATTTGCCACATTAGAAAAAGACAGGATAGGATCTTGGGTAAGTTCCTGGTATGTATTGTTATCTGAAAAGGAGTCTATAGGCTTCTTGTATATAGTATGCTTGATTCTGCACCACAATGCCATCCCCTTTGTCAGCAGGTTTAATGGTGATATCTGTATTGTTGATAAGATTCTCCAGGGCTATATTTTTCTAGTGGTGTGAGGTTGGAGTATGTAGAGGGGGATTTGGAGTTGGTAGCACACATATGGATCAGGTCAGCATATACCACTTGATAAAATGTTTGGATATAAGGCCCCTTATGGGATGGGATTGAAAATGGATTTAGGTTTCAGTTGAGTGTATTGTATGGGGGGAGAGATTGGACAGTGTTGAGTGAGCCACTTGATATCATCGTAATAGTTGTCTGCATAAAGTTGCTCTAGGTGTGCCAAGATCGGTAAAGCTCTATCATCAAAGTCTATAGAGTCTCCGGTTATGGGCTCAGTGGTGTTGTCTGGATTTTTGTATGACTTAATATTGAAAAATCTTTTAACTGTGAGGTCCCTGATAAATGTATTAAGATCCTTGAAAAGGGTAAAGGGGTTTGATAAAACTGTAGGAGCAAATGTAAGACCTTTGCTTAGCAGGGAAATGTCATGGCTAGTGAGCTCTTAGGTAGAAATATTAAAGATTTTTATAGTTTCCTGATTTTTCCTTTTCTTATTGTTTCTTAATCCACCCCCCCCCCCCCCTTATTTCCCTCCTGTGTGTTTTCTTTTGGCAAAGCTGGATGGGGGCACAGTAATAAAAAAGTATCAGATTGAGCGTCAGCTGGTAAGGAAGTATGGTCTGGCAGGGGAGTAGGAGAGCTATGTGTGGTAGTGGAGACATATAACCCAATATTGGATGGAATGGAATAAGTGGGGAGGATATCAGTATGCATCTGAGAAGAGGTGGGCCTAGGTGCTGGTTGGACCAGAGAATCAAGGGGGACAGTGGAGGGCTTAGAGCTGTTAGGTGGAGTACTAGGTACCTTTTCAGCTACTACAGACAACATATTAGGCTTGCTTTTGTAAGAATGATCTGTAGCTGCCAAGGACTGTTTAGATTTTCTTTTTTCTCATTGTATCTGGGGATGGCAGGACATTAAGGGAATAGCTGTTGCATGAAGTACTGACCTGGGATTTGCTTTTGTAAGAATGATCTGTAGCTGCCAAGGACTGTTTAGATTTTCTTTTTTCTCATTGTATCTGGGGATGGCAGGACATTAAGGGAATAGCTGTTGCATGAAGTACTGACCTGGGATTCCTGGGCTTCCTCCAGCAAAAAACCTTATTTTTGTTGAAAGTGTCAATGTCCCTCCTAAATTTTCCCACTGTGTTACTGACAAGGTCATCCTCTCTTTTTCTTAGTACATTTTTTCAGAGTGGTTAGCCAAGTGTTTGGGAGGTGTATTGCAGATTTTTGTATGGTGAGACAAAGATCCTGGATTTTGTTTTTAAGGGACTGGATTTTACAGTCCCTTTGTTGGATGATCTCTTACATCCACTTTTCAGTGCAGAATGCCGATATACGTGACCATTCTTTGGAAAGGTCTGGGCCAAGGAAGGTGCATAATTTACAGACTCTCAGACCCCTAGGGGAGATTTTATGTGACAGGTATTGTTCTAGAAAAAAGTCATCCCACCATTGCTGATTAGCTAAGGAAATAAGGTCCTCCAATCTTTAGAAGGATATGCATAATGATTTGTAACGGGAATTAGGGACAGTATTATTGTATTTAAAAAATTCTGCAGCATACAGGGAATAGAACTCTTCAAGTCTAATAATATATATATATATATATATATATATATATATATATATATAAAAAAAACACAAATATCATAGATTTATATATCACATGCTCTTCTTGAGTATTAGCTCCAGTGTCGGTAACTGCATTCTCCAGACATTAGTTGTAGTGTCAGTGACTACAATCAACTGTTCAAAGCATTCAGCACTAGTACTAAAACGGTTTGCCAGATAAATTCTCCTACTGAGCCTTTCTTTCCATAGAGAAAACCACTCTGGTCTCTTTTAATAATGTATCCAATCCTAAACACCTGGATGTTAAATTCTCAGTCTTAGTGTCTCCAAAGTACAGGTCAGCAGCCAACAGACCTAAATGATACAGACATATAAACAGAGTTTACACTGTAAGTCTCTTTAGAGAGGCAAAATGTCTTAATTTCTAGTTAGAACATTTAGAGATTCCACTTAATTTCTAAATCATTTAAATGAAAAGAAAATTGGTGCAAGAAATATTTACATAAATTATATAACAATATATGCAACAGTAAAATAGAAAGGTATAGTGTTAAAGAAATGTAGACTGCTCCAACTACAAGCACTACACCCATGTATAGGAATCGGGTGCTGGCTTAGAGCCTGTCACTCCTAAACATATGGCTTGGTATATTCATAATGAAAAGCAGCACATTGATGATGTTGTCATAAATAAAACTTTAATTAGCGGACAAGCTTCAAGACATAGTCTTCCCCTTAGGATCCACTCTGTAATATGCTTCACCCAATGGGTTTAATCATAAAAGAACTAAAAAGGATTTTAAAAAGTGCCCTATGTGAAGTTTGTTCTGTTTTTGTTTGGGACAGAGTTTCAGATTTGTTCAGTCAAGTTTGATGTTTGCAATAGTCCCTGGCCCTCAAAAAACTAACTCTCTCAGTAATCTAAGTTGTTTGATCACAAAATGAGAGCTTCCACTGCCAAATGCAACTGTTGGATCTTGCCCTTTGGAGAGGACGCTGTAGACCTAACTCTACCAAAGGGTATAAGGGGTATGTTGGGGATGTGATGGGAATGATTTTATTATGTTCAGCATGCACCTTTAGTGGCAGCTATTCTGCATAAATCAATCTTTCCATATGACAAGGGTTCACAACCAGCACATCATTTAAGACAGAGATGGGCCCCATGAGAAAAACTAGGACTGTTGTGGATGGTTGAATTTAATATCTGCTCAATATTAACTTTGTACCTGGGAAGGGCTGTATGTATGTAAACATATAGAAAACAACATAAGTACAACTGCTCATGGAAATATATTTTTTTTCAGCTAGGCAGTCAGGGTGTGTTAAAATCAGGCAGTTGAACCACAGTTTTACCTCATAACATTTACCCAAACTGTCAAATAACAGCTGACTGGGCGGTTGACATGCCACGGTGCTATGCATCACAGTCGCAGTATTTTTAATTTGTGGTGTAGAATTTGAGAAACAGCGCAATTTGTCAAACTCACCCATTGAGTTCAATGGGCTGCACCTGAACTGCATGCAATGCACACGATTGTGGCATGGTGCAACATTTAGCTGCATTCACACTTTCATTCACGTTTCATAGCTTGCAGGTCAAAGCTCCAAAACTTAAAAAAAAAATCAATTGTTCTCTATGGTGCCTGTTCGCGTGAGCAGGTGTGAACAGGCACCATAGAGAGCAAGTGATTTTTTTAAGTTTGAGCTTTTTTTTGGCGCTTCAAGTTACAAAACGCTCAAGTGTGAATGAAGCCTTATAGGGTTGAATTATGTGGTAAGGAGGCAATATAACGTCTCATCGCCACCTATTGAATGCCCTCTGAAGTGCACTTTGACTGTGGAAGGAGAGAACTTAACATCAGTACAGCAGAGATTCTACAGCTTCTGACATGGAGTGAAGAACAGGTTCAAGCTAGTGGGGTTTGCAGCGTGCAGGCACTAATACAGGAAGAATATGGCCAGTTAGCAGAATGGTAGGAGAATGTTGTAATATCTCCTAGGCAACAATCTACCACCAGAACCAAGCTTTGCTCCTTGAGGAAGATGACAGACTCTGGAAGGTATTCTGACAGTGTAGGCATGGAGGGCTGTACAGGGACAGCCAAAAGGGCCAGATGTAGCGCTGGGGCCGCAATATGTCTAGGTTTGATTTAGGGGAATGAAACTATGATTTGTTTGTTAACTACTTGCCCTCCAGAGGATTTACCCCCTTCTGGACCAGGCCATATTTTTGCAATAAAGCACTGCTTACTTTAACTGACAATTGCGCAATCATGCAACGTTATACAAAAATGAAATTTGTCGTATTTTCCCACAAATAGAGCTTTAGTTTGGTGGAATTTTATCATCTGTGTTTTTTAATTTTTTTGTGCTATAAACAAAAACATATCAATCTTGAAAACAAAACAGTATTTTTGACTTTTTGCTATAAAACATATCCAATAAAAAAAATTTAAAAAACAAGATTTCTTCATAAATGTAGGCCAAAACGTATTCTGCTACATGTCTTTGCTAAAAAAAAATCCCAATACGTGTAAATTGGTTTACGTGAAAGTTATAACTTCTACAAATGGCGGTAAATACACTATATTATCAAAAGTATTGGGACAGACCTCCAGATCATTGGATTCAGGTGTTCCAATCACCTCCATGGCCACACGTGCATAAAAGCAAGCAAGCACTGGGCACGCAGCCTACTTCTACAAACATTTGTGAAAGAATGGGTCGCTCTCAGGAGCTCAGTGAATTCAAGCGTGGTACCGTGATAGGTTGCCACCTGTGCAATAAGTCAATCCGTGAAATTTCCTTGCTACTAAATATCCCACAGTCAACTGTTAGTGGTATTATAACAAAGTGGAAGCAACTGGGAACAACAGCAACTCAGCCACCAAGTGGTAGGCCACGTAAAATAACAGAGCAGGGTCAGTGCATGCTGAAGCGAACAGTGTGTAGAAGTCGACAAGTGTTTGCAGAGTCAATAGCTAAAGACCTCCAATCTTCTTGTGGCCTTCCGATTAGCATAACAGTGCGTAGAGAACTTCATGGAATGGGTTTCCATAGCCGAGCAGCTGCATCCAAGCCTTACATCACCAAGTACAATGTCGGATGCAGTGGTGTAAAGCACGCTGCTACTGGACTCCCAGGCAGTGGAGACGTGTTCTCTTGAGTGACGTATCACACTTCTCTGTCTGGAAATCTGATGGGTCTGGGTTTGGCAGTTGCAAGGAGAATGGTACTTGCCTGACTGCATTGTGCCAAGTGTAAAGTTTGGTATAGGGGTGATTATGGTACGGGGTTATTTTTCAGAGGTTGGGTTTGGCCCCTTAGTTCCAGTGAAGAGAACTCTTAAGGTGTCAGCAGACAAAGACATTTTGGACAATTTCATGCTCCCAGCTTTGTGGGGACAGTTTGGAGATGGCCCCTTCCACACTAAATGTGTGTTTCTGTTGTGCTTACACTTTGTACTGTTTTACTAGGGAGACATTCTGCTCTCTCTCTCTCTGCTGTGCAGAGAGAGAAAGCAGCATGTCCATGCTGACAGGAGAGAGATCTGTGTTTACACACAGATCTCTCCCCTCTCAGCTTTAGTGGTGATCCCCAAGTACCAGCCGGGAATCGCCAGCCGGGACCCAGTGACTGACATCTGCTGTAACCAATGGCAGCGCGGGTAGGGCAGCACATGCCCCCATCAGAGAACTGCAAAATCATGTATATATACAGAACATGATTTTGAGCAGAGCGACCACCCTGTAGCAGTATATCTGCCATAGGGTGGTATGGATATGTATAGATCTGATGCATTTTTCTCTTAGGAGGTCTTATGTATTTTATTAGTCTTCTAGATCTGGTGTGTTTGGTATCTGATTGATAATTTCTTATACATTAGTGTGATTTTTGATAGTAACTCCATTACAGTGGGAGTTATGGAATATTAATTAGAGTTGAGAGTTTGAGATTATGGTAAAAAACCTGCGTGCAGCAGTCTCGCTCAGCCCCCCTAATACTCACCAAAGTCCCCTCTCAATCCAGTAATGTGCACTGTAGTCTCGACTAATCCGGGATTCCCTCTTCTCATTGACAGACATAAACAGGAGCTGTTGGCTCTCACTACTGTCAATTACAGCCAGTGAGCCAATGAGAAGATAGGGGGCAGGGTGGAACCGCAGCTCCGTGAAGTGAGAGTGGTACTGTGTTCAGTACCACTCCCTCATTATTTTACACAGTTTGGGGTTCATCATAACTCACTATCCACACACCTCTACTGCTGCCTACACCACCACTTGCCATTTGTTTAAAAGAGGAAACTTACTCTAAGTCTGTTCAGAAATTGACACTTCCAGGGGTAATCTCCAGGTCCCCCTCTGTGCTCAGTGTTTCTCCCTGCTGACCCCTACATCACTGCATGAAACAATAGTGACATAGAGACTGGGGGGGGGGTGGAAGAACCACTGAATGCAGGGAGAGCCCAGAAGTTTGTAACTTCTGAAAGTAAACAGCAGTAAAACAGAAAAGCTATCCCATTTGCCTTGTCAGTACTGCTATGGCCTGCCCCGTCAGACATCAACTGCCTATAAATGCACCCACTCAAGTGAACTGAAAAGTAAGTGCACAGCTTTGACCAACTGCACCATCTCTTTTTTTGCAGGAGTATGAAGGCTATGGCTGGGCCGCATGGACAGCCACTGGACTCTAGACTTTTACCTAGGTTGTCTTCAGGCTCCGATTATACCTCAACAAAAGTATTACCAGATATGAGACCCACAACAATACTCTTTGAACACAAACTACATTCATTCATTAATTTATTCTTCAAAGATGTAGTCCTGAAAATAATAGTATTAAAAATAGTTCAGGAGTGACTGTACTGTACTGATTAAAGAAATGTTATCATTAGGTAGACAAAAACTGTGATGGTAGTAGTTAGAAAAACAAAGTCTACAGTCCTGCAATCAACAATAAAAGGTCCGAGACAGTAATTTGGTGAGAATTTGAAGGCTATCTAATGTCTGCTAAATAACCTAGAAGACATCACATTTGTGTGTTTGGCTCAAGGAAAGTTAATTGTCTTCTAAATGTTGAGATTCAGTTCAAGGCTTTGTTTACGGAGCTGAAAAAAAGACTACCAAGAGCTAGACGGCCTGAGGCATGAAACTTGATTTTTTTTTTCTCAAAACTTGAAGATTGAATTTCAGTTTGCAGGATTAGGAAGATGTCCTTTTTTTAGAGGGTTATTCCTTGGAAAAAAAAGGCAAAGGAAAAGCAGCTGGGAGGGATTAGTGAGAACCAGCGCCTGCACATTCAAACTGATTCAGTACACATAAGACACTGCATCCTTGAGAACACTCAATGCAAATAACATGTTATTTTTTAACATTTGGAAAAGTTGTATGTTAAAAAAGGACAATGTCTTTATTTTTATTCTACTAATACATTTAAAAATAAAATAAATTGTGAATAAAAGCACTTACATGGCAAATAAATATGGGTACTTTTTTAGATATGCAGTTCAACACTAAATTGAGGTCCCAAATCCACATATTTTAGCATCTCTGAATAACTTAAGACCAAAACTTCATGAGATAATTATGGGTCTATAATTGTTGCCTGGCTGTTATAAAAATTCACTTGTTTCAATACTTTACAATTCGTTGACCCAGAAAAATTACTCAGAAAAAAACTAGAGAAATAACCATAAATTCTTATCTGTGTACTAATCCTCGGTAAAGGACGCAAAGTATTGGGTTATCAAGAGTCAGGCAACTAGCATCCTACATACCTCTCTAAACGTAAAGTTACTAGATCTTTAGAATATAACCTGGGGACACCCTAATGATCACACCCACTTTAAATATGTCCACAGATCCACACCCTTAATTGTAGCCATATCCACAAAATTACACCTCCATTTTTTTACATGCCCTGAAACAATTGGTCACAGATTTTCAAAACAAGAGACAGACATTCAAGGTAAAAAACATACCTAGGGCACCATGAGAAACAAAAAGGTAAAAATGATGCAGCGCTATGCACACCATGAGGAATTGTGCATGTGGCCAGATTGTGTTAACAGTGGGCAGAGCCTAATGGGGGAATGGTTACAAAGTAGCCTAAGCCAATGCTGCTATAGGTCAAGAGAGTGTGAAGCATGGAGAGCAGGATTAGGTAATGCAAAGGTGTTCAGGGGCAAAGCCAGGAGAAAGTAACTCCCTAACACACACAGACTGCAGGGTATAAAATGCAGCTGCAGTATATTTAAAATAGACCATACCTCATCCACTGGCTTGGTGGTTATACCTGGTTTCCCTCATGACAACCCCCCACATAGCTGTTGTCTGACTTCATTGCCCTCTTTCTCTTTGGTCACTCCCACACTCCCAGCATCATCCCTCAGAGAGTCAAGCAATGTAAAGGAAGCATTGTAGGAAGCAGGTTGTAACAAGTCGCACTGTACAAGTGTCAATACAAAATGGCACTGTTGGGCCATTTTGGATTGATGCAGCACCATTTTGGATTGATGCCCTAGGGAAATGGTGATGAATGGAAACCTGACACTAATGACTGGGTAGCTTTAAGACTTTGAATGAGAAACATATATTTTACAGTCTATATAAGGCTTTGTCCATATTCCCTCTGGGGGATGTTTTGACAAGAAAAGTAATATTTTGTTGACACTGGTGTTTCACAGTTTGAAATGTTTTTCTCGGCTTTACAAAATGTGCGAGGATGCAGAATACAAAACATTGCAAGTAGCTCTTCAACTGTGGTCAACTGTACCACCAATCTTAGGGTGTATATAAGCCCTATTTAACTTTTCTTATTTTCTTTATTTTGTTATGGTAAATATAACATGAATGTAGTATATTAAATCTGCTTTAGAAGTACAAAGTATACCTATTGATGGAAGAGTGGGTATGGTTGGGTAGTTTCGCAAAAGACTACAGAGTTGATACCACTCAGCACAAAAATGTTGTGTTGTTGACTATATACTGAGTGCATTTCTGGCAGATTAACATGTATTATTTATTTTTATTATTACTAATAATATTAATAATATATTTTTTTCTTTAATTTTGCGGTAATATACACTTTAACAGAGTTCATGCCTTATGCAAATCAAGTGTAAAGATAAATTCCAATTCATACCTGCACTAGCTTCCATATCCACTGATATGTGGTTTACTTTAGCATTATTATCTGGCATTAGTGCTCTGTGGTTGTTACAGATTCTTTACAAAGATTTCATTGATAAATCTTGAATATCATAATTTCTTGCCCTTAGCTTCTCATTTATTTAATTAATGCTTAGATATTACATAGGTATTGCATTCAATAAAAAGATAAACCGAATCACTAAAATCTCATATAAGCTTTATGATTTCATTTCAAAGGTTGTTCTCAATCTTTTGAAATCTGCATCTTCCATTATAAGAATACCTTGTGATCCCACTATAGTCCTTGTTCAGGGCTCTGCCGTTATAGGGTGACAACTTTTTCTCAACGATGCTCCTGCATTGTCCCCTTGTCACCTAAGTCCCTGATGGAGATTACACATTGAACAGGCTTCGGCCACCATTCTCACTATCAGGAAGCTTTTCCCAAGAAATTGTGTGCAGTTAAGCACCAGAAATATTGCATAAAGAGAGGAAGTGCCTGCAAAATGTTGGAGGAGAGCAGCAACACTGAAATGCCTCAAATAACGCAAAAATGTCTAAACAGTATTTTATGAAAGAACAAATCATGGAAAAATGTCAACCAGTTAACATTTAAAGCTACTTAATTTGCTGCAAATTTTCTTCTCTCAATATGCATAATTTAGTAGTCCTTGCTGTCTAAGACAATGAAAATTCATACCCCTTAAATGCTCCCCAAACCTCAGATCAGCATGTGAATAAACTGCTGCAACACAGACACAGATTCCCTGTTGCATAAATATGAATGAGATAGGTAAAAGATGGCTTCAGCTCCTGTTCTCCACCTGTAGAGAACTCTTCAGATTTGTTTAACCCTTTTTTGGGGCTTAATCGTAGGGTGAGACGTACCTGAAGAGTTTTATACATGTGG